TTACAACAGATCATCTTTTCTATTGTGTCGCAATTTTTCATATAGCGGGATGACCCATAAACTATCGATGATAATAATTATTTTAAAATTAACTCAGAACGGTACTTTTTTTCAAATCGATTCATGCAATATGACCATTGCTTGTGAATCTCAATTGATTGAGCACTTTATTGAGATGTGTATCTCTCCGAACTTTATTACATTCATTCGGGTATTCTTTAAATGATGCCGAATTGTACGATGCGTCGTACAAGAAACGTGACGCAACGAAATTACATCATCCGCCCCCGTACTCTTTCCATGACACAACTCACAGCCATACACGGTACTGCGTGCATTATCTCTCTTTGTTACGTGTGCGAAGATACGGCTTGCGCTTGACACAGCGGGGCTACTTCCGCGGCTACGATATTCGCGCGGACGCGACTCTCTCGAATTCGGCGGCGTCGGCCGGGCTCTTCTTCGTTGCCGCGCTGACCCCGAAAACCCTGGACTTGGTCGACTCACGATCGGCGCACAAGTCTGGCGAAAGGACCTTATTGTCGGCCTTCTATGCGCCGCAAGAGTTTTACGAGGCTGGCGCGATCGATCGGCTGATCGTTGGAGCTACAGGTCAGTTGGAATTACTTGATGTAGTCGGGACATCGCGTGATTCGATATTTTTATGAGACGCGAGGAGAATTTATTGCGTGATGTGCAAATATGTAATAACATATAATAAATGAAGAAAACGCTTATATATGACCGCTTTTGACCGAAAATTTGTGAAAAATTTTAGAACAATTTCATAGCATGTTTTAAAATAATGATTGAATTGATCTCATATGTGTGTATAATTTTATTAATTTTTTTCTAAATATGAACGCAATAAATGTAGAATGCTAAAATACGATAATCTGTAATGAACAGATTCATATAGCGTTTCATTACCGTAATGCTGTCATAATGTGCAATTATATCCAACATCTACGATTTCATCCTTCGTGTTATGATCCATAAATTAGAAATTGTATCTTGCGTTCACTTTATACTTTAAACATGAACTCTTTTGCTTTTACAACATCGTAAGTGTCAAGTGAATGAATGTCACTCAAATTGCGCTTCAAGGAGAGATTATACAATACCGGCAATCAAGTCAGTTATTCTTCTCCCTGAGATGGAAATCAATGCAGTACCTGTCACGTTCCCAGGAACAGTAAAAAGATAAGGGAAGTCATCTTAAGTGAAGGGAAATGCACCCGCTTAATGCGAATACGATAGATCTTCCATGGTATTTAAATACGTTCTAGTCAAGGAGATACACTTGCACATTACGGTTTATAACGATAAGAATACCGTAGTTGTCTCGAGTAAATTGCTTAACTGTGATTACTATTGTCATACATCGCGTGCATGCAACGCTTCTTCAATTTTCATAAAATTGACTTGACTTTTTATAAAATATTCTTACCTTTCACTTTTTCTTCAAACACAGTAATGTTACGTTTTAATAAGAATATATCGCGAAAGAGATGCAATAAAAGGAAAATGTTCAAAACTTACGTTGCTTCTTTGAAACTAAATATACATATATCGTTATAAAATTAGATTGAAATTAAATTTAGATAGAGAAAAGCGTTCTCATCACACACATACATCATAGTCTATCGTTATCTCACGTAAAGGTGAGCTATCCAAGAGAAGACTATGCGAGAATTTCAATGTAATCTTACAAAAGTTCACGAAATATATACTTCCATCTTCGTGTGAACAATAGCGCGTGAACTTTTTAATTACATAGCGGAAAAGAGTGTAACATCAGTGAAAGGCACGTTGCAGTCACAATGATGTCTTTTTGCGAAATTTTATGAGTTTACGTGATTTAAGAAATACAGTGTAAAAAGTTGATATTAAATTTGTTTTGATATTTTAGAACAAAATAACGCAGAAATCGAGTTCCATAAAACGTATATTTGCTCCGTTTGTGCCAACTATTATACGAGAGTAATTTGAAGTAAAAGAAAAAGAAAAAAGTTCGGTTTACTGCTTCAAATTTTATGTTTCACGACGTTATTTCGTAGAACGATCCTACTTCTATAATTTACAATTAGAATTTTTTCAAAATATTAATATTATAATTTTCTTAAAAGCATTGTTACGTATGTATATAAGTTTTATAAATTATGACACCCATGAAAACTGATGATGGGGGCAATGTTCATAACTCTGAGCAAATTGGAGTTAATTTTGTTTACTACAGAGATAACTTTAATTAATTTTTTCTCTTTGTTTAACTTTGTTTCTCAAAACCTTAAAACGTTGAAGAAATCAAAATCTTTCCTATGTTATCAAATTTTCTGACATTTACTGTCACGATTTATCTTAACACGTTGTCCCATGAGAACTTGGTTTTAATAACGATCTAGGATGCAAGATTTAATTTCCGCGACAGCGGGACATTCTAGGAAGCCTCTGCCTCCGGGCTTAAACGAAATACTCCTGGACCGATACTTCCATGACGGGAAGACCAGCGACGTAGCCGTGGATTACGCCGCGCAGATTATACAACAGGGAAGAGATCATGGCTTGCCGCCTTATGTCAGATGGCGAAGTTTCTGCGATTTACCGGATCTCACTGACTTTCAGGATCTTAAAGGCACAGTGACCAAAGATACCATCGAGAGACTTCGAGCAGTCTACAAGTAAGATGAAATATAGGGTGAGATATAATAATAAAGATCGTCATATTTGAATTCGCATTTCTTTATCGCGATATTAAAATTAACATCTCTCTTTCCATTTTTCTCTTTCTCTCTCGCGATTTAAAATAAATTATTCTGGTTATAAGATTTTATAACTGCAATGTTTGATGTTATTTTCAATTCAAGAGATGCTCTATTGTACTAAAAATTTTATTATTCTAATGCTGTATTCCCGTTTAATTTATAGAAATGTAGGGGACATAGATCTAGTAACTGGAGCACTTTCGGAAGCACCAATATCTGATTCTGTTCTTGGACCAACGTTCCTTTGCTTACTAGGACGAACATTTCGAAATATTCGTCTAGGTAGATATAACTTTGCATTCTTTGTTGCACACCCTACATAAAATAGGAGGTTTGTCTAACTAAAAATAGCTTGAAATAAGATATTTTTAAATAGAATTTTATCATTTGACAATTTTTTAATGCAGGTGACAGGTATTGGTACGAAAATGGAAATACGCCTGGTTCATTTACGATAAGACAGTTGGAGGAAATACGAAAAAGTACCATGGCACAAATTTTATGTCGCAATGGAGATAGGCTACAATGGATGCAACCGAGAGCATTTATTCTAAAAGATCCATTCCTGTAATTATACCAATTTTGAAATAATATGCATGTCTATTAATTAAATTTATTATTTATCAATAATATTATTAACTAATAACCCGTCGATTTCAAACAATAAATATTTAAATTTTAATTTAATGTTTTTCAGGAACGGTATGACAAATTGTACGACTCATACAAGAGGAGCTATGGATTTTGCAGCTTGGAAAGAAAGGACAGATATAATTTAATCTAAATCTCATATTCGATCGTCGAATTTTAATATTGCTCATATTAAATGATATTGTTCCTGATTACATTAGAGATCGTATGTTTGAAATCATCGATACTCTAACTGTTATTCTTATATTGATTTGGAAGTTTTGAATTATTACTGCAAAATAGTTGATTAGAAATTTGCATTCTTAATTTGATTTCAGATTTGATTCAAAAGATTCCATTAAGAAAAATTTTACTAAGTATAAATATTAGTAGCAATTAAAAATAGAAAAGAAATTCGTAGTATTATCGATTCTATTGAGAGAAATTTAATTGAGATGATAAACGTACGCGTCGAGTTTTAATACCTCATGTAACAAAAGAAGAACTGTTCATAATGATCTCCATCTCATTTCTAACGCACATTTGTTAATACACGTTTTGTTGTACTACTCGTTATAATTTTATTGCAAATATTGTTACTGCAGTTTCGTCAACATAAAACAATTTCTAAAGAATTTGTAATTCGAGCACGTTACGTATTAGAACGTGCGTGCATGAAAAGTATTATATTTTAGCAATAACGATGACGATGGAGTAAATATACCGAAAAATTCACGCGAATACGCGAATAATTCGATCGATCGAATCAAATATTTTTTAACATACGATGGCCTGTACTTCGAGTTTAATCTCAGGATTTTAACTTATTTTTTAACTTTGGTGTGTATTGCTTTGATAATACACATGTGTTATTGCTGCTCTAAATAAAATTATTTAACAGTATAATATGTGTATTATTTATACAAAAGGGAAACCATATGTAACTTCCGTATTGAAAAAAAGGATTTTAGAGTTGCTATAATTTTGTCTACGGAATACAGAAATAATGTAGTTTTAATTTAATCTTATATTCATGATTTTTAATTAACATTAATTAACATAGCGTAATTTATATTAATAAAAATAAATAAACATTATTAAAGGCAACTTTTATTATATTCTATTCTAGTTCATCGCTCGTTTTCTTGTTTGTTGCAATTCTATCGTTGGATTACATCATATTGGATCAATACATCGTTTTGAAATCCGGAAATCCATACGTATACATATACTGATAAAGAGTTCCGGTTATTTACTTTGGTTTCTGGACTTAGCTCGCATGCACGTGTTCGCGGGCAATATCAAACGTCACGTAATAATTTGCGTCATGTTGCCAGAAGTAGCTACCTAACTTCGTCATTTTCAACATTCCTGATAATACGTTCGACGAATGATCTCCTCTCCGATAGAACATTCGGGATGTTTCGATACTTAAGGAGTGGTAGGGTGACTGTACACGTTTACTATTGGTGCATTCCATTGGAGCCCCAGTAGAACGCAAACGATTCGTGAACACAGGCGTGTCCATTATCCAGTCGCTAGAGTGGATGCGCCGTAAGATCCACGCGTGGTATATATATACGTATCACGGGCTTCCACGGGTCTTACGGGAGTTGCATCACTACACGTGAAGCTAGGCATACCGCGTTTTCTGCCGATTTCTCGGTGAAATTCCACAGACAGAAGGCCAAGATGTTGACCGCCGCGAGATTATTAAACCGCAGCTGCACCGGAGCCTGTGACCTCGCCAGGAAACAACAATTCAGCACGATTTTGAAAAATGTGCGTATGATAATGATATCACGATCCCCGTGGCTTCTCCTAGCTCGCATTCGTCACTATTTGCATGTCGTCTAATGAGAGATAAATCTTAATTGGCAGTGCTTCCTTGTTATTCTATGCAAATTATCCTAAATTACGTCACGATCGTGTATCGCGAGAAATTTCTACCGCACGTTAATTTTACTACGACGCCGCCGATTTTAGAGCCGGCACGTGAGTGGATTCCCACCTCACATTTTTAGCCAAATGCTCTGAGTAGGTCTTTTAGTTGATGATATTCTTAATCTCATCTGTTCTTTGCATGTTATTATTGTTAGAACTGCTAAAATGATGACTAATAGCTAGAACTGATTTTATAGGTTGGGTTAGACAAATTCAGTCAGTTTTTTTTTCTCTAATTAAATATTTTGTACTAAATATATATATTTCCGTGAAGAAATAGATATAAATTTTATTAACTTCTGAACTTATTTGTTTTAAATACATATAATTTGTATTAATAAAAGTTATAAGTATTTTTGTCTAAATTTTATGCTTTTTTAATTTATCCTGTAAAATATTTGATAATATTATTTATGTAGTCTTTTTGCAATAAAATACTTTCTTGGATTGTTAAATAGTTATAAGTACATATATAAATACATATATAAGTACATATTTTGTACTTTTAATCTTTTAGGTGGCAGCTCCAACAGTTACCATACCACACCGTTTTACCGATATGCAACAATATCGGTATAAGTAAGTAATTAATATGAAATAAATATTAAATATACGTTTCTTAGTTTTAGAACAACTTCTAGAACAATCTATTTCTTTTTTAAGATCTGAAGGTGTAAAGGGTGCAGTTATCGGTATAGATCTTGGAACCACTTTTTCATGCGTAGCAGTGATGGAGGGAAAACAAGCTAAAGTTATAGAAAATGCTGAAGGCTCCAGGACTACTCCATCTTATGTCGCTTTTACAAAAGGTTATTGCTAAATTATATCATATTAATAACATTAAACCTTTTTGATAACATGATTATCGGTTATGATTATTCACGCAATGAGTAACAAAAATATATACGAGTTAAATTCTGGAATATTTTTCTTATTTAATTTTGTCATTTTTACAATAAATAAATAATTTCTGATTTTTTAGATAACGAACGTTTAGTTGGCATGCCTGCGAAACGTCAAGCAGTCACAAATTCTTCTAATACATTTTATGCAACAAAACGATTAATTGGACGGAGATTTGAAGATCCCGAAGTGAAAAAGGATATGTAAGTATCATGTTGATATTTATATGATTTATTGCGATATGATTATATCTGTTTTAATATGTAACGTGTTCTTATAGGAAGAGTGTAACGTACAAAATTGTGAAAGCATCTAATGGAGATGCGTGGGTTCAAGGTGCTGATGGAAAAATGTATTCTCCCAGTCAAATTGGAGCATTTGTACTTATGAAAATGAAGGAAACTGCTGCGGCTTATTTAAACACTCCAGTAAAGAATGCTGTTATTACTGTACCAGCATATTTCAATGATTCGCAACGACAAGCGACGAAAGATGCTGGTCAGATTGCTGGATTGAATGTGCTTCGTGTAATTAATGAGCCAACCGCAGCTGCACTTGCTTATGGCATGGACAAACAGGAAGATAAAATGTAAAGATCAATTACATTGATATATCATATGAAAGATACTCTTTTGAAAATAATGATGTCGATTTTTCGTCTCTAAAGATATATCTTGTGTTGAAATACATTACTGAAAATTTTTGTTACATTTCTTACAGTTTTTGAGAAAGAAAGACGATATGATTAATGTATTGTTTTTTTTTCTTTTCCAGTATTGCTGTTTACGACTTAGGTGGAGGTACCTTTGATATCTCAATTTTAGAAATCCAAAAGGGTGTTTTTGAAGTAAAATCCACAAATGGAGATACATTTTTGGGAGGAGAAGATTTCGACAATGCATTGGTTAATTATCTTGTATCTGAATTCAAAAAAGAGGTACGAATTTTATAACTAAATACAATTATTCGTTATATCTATTCGTTAAAGTAAATTCATATTAATAATTGATTTGATGAAATAATGCAGCAAGGCTTGGACGTGACTAAAGATGCCATGGCGATGCAAAGATTGAAAGAGGCATCGGAAAAGGCTAAAATAGAGTTATCAAGTTCTCTCCAAACGGATATAAACCTTCCCTACCTTACTATGGATAGCAGTGGACCAAAGCATTTAAATCTTAAATTATCCAGAAGTAAATTCGAAAGTCTCGTGAACGATCTGATTAAGCGTACTATTCAACCGTGTCAGAAGGCGCTTTCCGATGCCGAAGTAGCAAAATCTGATATCGGGGAAGTTTTGTTGGTCGGTGGTATGACCAGGGTTCCTAAGGTACAACAAACGGTTCAAGATATATTTGGCAGACAGCCATCGAAAGCTGTAAATCCGGATGAAGCCGTAGCTGTTGGTGCTGCCGTTCAAGGAGGTGTACTTGCAGGAGATGTGACAGATGTTTTGCTTCTTGACGTTACTCCTTTGTCATTAGGTAAAGTTGTTTTATATTCAGAGATTGTTCTATTATTTTATACATACAAAACTATGATGTACTAGACTAATCTTCTCTCTGATAGTATTTGATGTCATTGATTTACTGATCATTCATTCATCTAACATTACAAATGAAGTTACACTGGGATCAGCGGTATGAAAAAAATGTTTGTAAATTTTTTAGGTATTGAAACACTTGGTGGTGTGTTTACGAGATTGATCTCTCGTAATACAACTATACCTACAAAAAAGAGTCAGGTATTTTCTACGGCAGCGGACGGTCAGACGCAAGTCGAGATTAAAGTTCATCAAGGCGAGCGAGAAATGGCTGGTGATAACAAACTCCTAGGACAGTTTAGTCTTGTTGGTATTCCACCTGCACCAAGGGGTGTACCACAAATAGAAGTAACGTTTGATATCGATGCAAACGGTATCGTGCATGTATCAGCCAGGGATAAGGGAACTGGCAAAGAGCAACAAAGTATGTAAATTTCCTATCATTTCACATATATATTATATTAAAAGCATATAATTAATGTTATAGTGATGCCTATATTTTTCGTCTCTGAAACTTGGTTTAAAATCAAGAAATTGTAGACTACATTCAACTGAATCGTTACTATAATTAATGATGAATTATATTTTTTATGAGCATATTCTAAATGTATGATTTTTTTTTGCAGTTGTTATTCAGTCTAGTGGTGGTCTTAGCAAAGATGAAATTGAAAACATGGTTAAGAATGCTGAGCAGTACGCAAAGGAAGATAGAATTAAGAAGGAAAGAGTTGAAGCTTTTAATCAAGCAGAAGGAATTATACACGACACAGAATCGAAGCTAGAAGAATTTAAACCGCAGTTACCACAGGAAGAGGTATGGCATTATTGTTAATTATTTAACATTTTTATGAATTATTTTGATATTTATTGTTTTCCTTTTATAGTGCGACAAACTTAAAGAATTAGTTGCAAAACTGCGAGAGACTCTGGCTAAGAAGGATGATACGGATCCCGAGGAAATAAAGAAGCAAACGAACGAACTCCAACAAGCAAGCTTGAAACTGTTTGAAATGGCGTACAAAAAGGTACTTAATTTATGTGAAAATTAAATTAATGAGCACAAATTATGCTCTGCATAGCTCAAGAACTATTATTTAAACATGTTGACTTTACAGATGGCGGCAGAAAGAGAAAGTCAAAATCAATCGCAGCAGGAACCTGAAGGCGAGAAGAAGGAGGAGAAAAATTAATTTTAATTAAATAATTTGCGTTTCTGTACAAAAGGAAAATTGATTCCATTCACATACATTTGTATAAGCGTCAGATGCTGTTCTGTGAGCTCAAAGGAACCACTTATTTTAGTTGAAAAAAGGCAAATATAAACTAAATTTCGATATTTGACGCGATAATAACCGTTTAGAAATAAAGTATTATTCACACACGAAGTGGAAAAAAAGCAATTTCCTTTGTCATACTTAGTGGTCTGATATATAATAGCAATTTTGTGGTATTTATATAATTATATATATATTTTATAAGTAGTACTCTTGCATCCTAAATATACAAAATTATTTTTTGTTGTGAGATTCGGAAAACAAGTTTCGTCAAATTTATTAAAAAGAAGTAACTGTATATTACACGTTTGTAGTAGTAATGGCCATTTTTTTAAAAGGTTTGGCTAGTCAGTTTTCACATGAAGTAAGAAATTATGTACATAGTTGATCACTTTGTATAATGTAACTAATGCAGTATGATCATTTTTGTGCAGCCTACGAGACATGTGCAGAATATTAAAATATTCACCGTTATAACAGTTATTGTAAAAATAAATTGTACCAAAAATAATATGGAGATAATTTGTTAACAAACTTGCTATTGTAGAATACTTCGTAGCACGTACAGCGAATAAGCGTGAGATGAGAATATAGAATTGAGAGAATGAGATGAATGATCCTGTGCAAAACAAGTTTACTTAAGTGTAAACAATATACAATAGATACATAGATTTTACCGTAGAGAACGTTGTTACATTGCGATTTAATCAATTTATTTGATTTTTTTAAATATCTTGAACAAGAACATTTAACTTTTTAGGTTTCGTTTTATTCAATAAATCTTAACTTTAACGTATGGGATTAATCTTTTATTGAAGTTTCAAGCAAATGATCATTTCCCACCCTAATGCATCTCACATTCCTGTAATTTTTCCGGACAGCGTCTTGCTAGAGTAAAAATTTGAAAATGAAAAAAAAAATGCAGTTCACTTATCTCTTGATATGTATGCATCTTTCTCATCGTATACATATGTATTTATGCATTGTCATCACTGAATTAATAAACCTGTTCTTTGCATTTGCGCTTCTTGTACTTTTTATTTTTTCTCTTTTTCTGTCCAACACTTAATTAGATATATCTATCTCACTTTTGAACATAGAAAGGTGCTACCTAACGTAATGCAGTGCCCCTATATTTAATGTTTGCCGGTGCAATAATTGTGCTTTAACGAGGGTTAAATATAAAAAAAAAGTTATAAAAGATTATATTTAGACAAGATGCACGACTCGAAAATGTCTATCTTCAAATATAAAGGCACGTAACATCGACTTTACCATTGTGATAAACTGGATGGATAAACGCAGCGAATAACAAGTAACGTGCCAACGTGTTTTGGAGGTTTGGTTCGGAGTTCGGAGCTGAACGGAGTGCGAAAGTGAATTAGGTTAGGATTCGTTAAAGATAACTTTCGCAATTCTGTTTCCACTCTACGATAACAGAAAATTATATTAAGGTAGAAAAACATGTCAGACACTTCTGACGATGAATTAAATTGTGGCGATCAAGAGAAAACATCGTGGATTTTATATAAAAATCGCGATGAGTGGAGTGACGTGACTCCTTTACCCCAGGATGACGGTCCCCATCCTGTGGTATCAATTGCATATTCCGAAAAGTGTGAGTATATGTAATTCTAAAAATTACATTATTTTTTTAGCTGTATTTTACAAAACATATCAAACGATATTTATGATAAAACATATTTTTTTCTATTATTGTATAAATTCGTCGTTCCATAAAGAGATTTTGCTTCAATAAATTATCATTATGTGTTTTATATATTTAATGTTACTTTTTAGTTAAGGATGCCTATGATTATTTCCGTGCCATTCTGAAGTCAGGTGAAAAGTCAGAACGTGCTCTAGCTTTAACCGAAGCCTGTATATGGCTTAATCCGGCCAATTATACCGTATGGCAGTACAGAAGAGAGATACTTAAAGCTCTAGAAAAAAACTTAATTGACGAATTAAAATATACCGATCGAATGATAAAATACAATTCTAAAAATTATCAGGTTTGGCATCACAGAAAAATCATTGTCGAATGGCTGCAAGATCCTAGCGAAGAATTAGCGTTCATCGAAACTGTTTTACGTAAAGACGCAAAGAATTATCATGCTTGGCAACATCGTCAGTGGTGCATACAAACTTTTAAGTAAGTATATCTTTATATGTGTATATAGAATACATATATAGCAATATTTTTTTATTGTGACTGAGAGACAATATGTAATTATGTCAAACATGTGTGATTATGGTTGCAGTTTATATGATAAGGAGTTGGAATATGTAGAACAATTGTTAAATGATGATGTCCGTAATAATTCTGCTTGGAACCAGCGCTATTTTGTAATAAGTAATACGACAAAGTTTGAGCAGGAAGTGATAGACAGGGAAGTTGATTTTGCGCTGGAGAAGATCGAGTTAGAAAAAGGAAATGAGAGTGCATGGAACTATTTAAGAGGGTATTTGTTCCTGATATATCAGAACTTTAACTAGAAGAAGAATGATATTTTAATTTGATTATTATCTATAAATCGTGCTTTTAGAATATTGTTACATAGCAAAGGCTTGGGTTATAATGAAAAAGTAAGACATAAGTGTGAAGAAATGTATAAGGAAGGATGTCGTACTAATCATTTATTGGCCTGTATAATTGATATCTGCCAAGAAAGTCCATCTGATGAAACCCCGTCCTCTTTGTTTCATATTAATTTTGCGTACGAGGTAAGTTTGTTTTTGTAATATTATGTATTTTCTAATGTTATATCATTTGTCATTCCTGATACATATACTTATTCTTTAGTTATGCAAGGATTTAGCGAAGAAATATGATACAATAAGATGGCGGTATTGGGATTACATAGCTAGCCAGCTAGCGATAAAATTGACTCTTCAGATAACTAAAGCAGACTCTTCGGATTAACAACCACAACAACCTTGTAGTATGAATTGTTCAAAAAATTTTAGATAACGTTTTACATATCAATCTATATGATTGATATATTTCGGCCTCTTTTGCCTACAAGTATCAAGTATATATATTGCATGACTGAAAAATTATTCAGTTTATACAATTTCTTTATGTTAAAACAAGAGACACACTTATGATTTAAAAATATATAACTCTTATAATACAATTTGTAAATTAAATTCTAGGATTATATTAAGCACAATGTGTAGAATCAAGCTATATATCTATTATGCCGATATTGTTAATTTAAATAAAATAATCTCTATCATTATCATGCATTTTTTTCATGACTTTTCTACATAATGATATATTTCGGATTTCTAGATTTCTGAATTTCTGGATTTTTAGAAATGCTAATTTCTTCACTACTCTTATAAGATTTTGCTAGTGGAGTTTACATATTAGAGCTTTCTTAGCATATATATTGTCATTTTTATTTGAGTAAAAGAGTAAGTAAGAAAGTAAAAAAACTTATTGAATATGTAAATAGATTAAATGCGCACGCTTGAGGCCTCAATACATAATAAATAATGACAAATAGAAAACAGCTGATGATAATATGCAAATATAATATATTGTTTCACTCACCAGCCGAAGTACTGCAGCCTGCTCCGCGCAAGTCCGTTGCAAATTCCACTTTAGAAAAAGCTCCATCAGCTGTATCTTTATCCAGCGAATGATAAATGTCACACACACATAACATAAATGTTAACTCATGCGCTTCACTTTCAAGTTTATTTCACTGTCAGATTCATTTTCAAAAATCGAATGTCACAAATATGTCACAAGTTTGCTACATCGTGTTACGTGAAACACGAAACACGAGATAAAATGTACTTTATTCCACAATGTGTCCGCGTACATAACCGATTACTATCATTTTATACCTGATAGCGGATTTTTCATTAGATGGGCTTTAGTATTTTTTTTAATCAAATTGTACTTAGAAATTTTTAAATGCCAAAATCTATCACTGACTATATCTAATATAACTGTATCATGATTGATGTTTTTTGGCACTATGTGCTTACATATTTTTCTGAGGTATATTTATTTTTCAATAATTAAAAATCATAATCTGAAATATGATGAAAGAAGTAACTGTAGCGACCGTAGCACTAGTTATAATGTTTCTAAAGTTGCATTAATTTTTATAATTCATAATAATTAATCTAGCAACTCTCTCTGTAAGCAGTGATCGCGGCCAATATAGAAAACAATCACGATCACTGCCAGTTATTATTTTATATTTTAATTTATAATCGTATATAAAAAATATAGAAAAGGTTTTCAATTAACTCATGCACATAAACATAATAATCATAATATTAATTATAACAATTTCACTATTCTAATTTGCAGAACAACAACGACATACATGAAGCAGTAATTGCGGCTAATACAGAAAATGATCACTATTACTGCTAATTATTACTTTATATTTTGATATATTATGAAAAAAATATAAAAAAGATTTTTAATTAACTCATGTGTACATAAATGTATATTAGTAATTATAAAATTAATTATATCGATTCATGCTTCTGATCTATTGGAATATCTACACGTACAAGTATGATCACGGCTAAGAAAATAATCGCGATTACTGCCACGTGCTACATATATACAATAAATACAACATGCTTCAATTAGTTCAAGTGTACAAATCCGTGCTACGGTCGCACGGAGTCTACTTGACGAAACTTTCGCATTAAGAATGCAACGTACCATGTCGGTAACCAAAGTTGCACGTTACCGACTGGTGCACGGCACCAGGCAGTGACGCTACAGCCACACGGAGTTCACTTGACGGAACTGTCGCAATTTCGCGTTACACGTTCGGCAATTTCGGCATACGAGGATCAAGGCTGCGGTCCACTTGACGCTACAAATGCTTTAAAGCGTTCTACGTCTCCTTTCTTTCATCGAAAGAAATTAAGGAGAAGAAGAACGCTTCGAAGCATTTGTATAGCGTCAAGTGGACCGCAGCCTTGATTCTCGTATGCCGAAATTGCCCAAGTGGCGGATTTTCCATGTAGCGCGGTGAACGTGCACGATATAATCACGAGAATACGGATATTGGAATCGCCACATCTAACGAAAAGAACGCCAGGCATTCTCGCGTTTCGGATTTATTCGAAGGAGCATAAGGATCACTTTCGCGCGACTACGTCATCGGAATCTGTACTCACTGTAACCGAAACGGTTCCGAATCACGGTATACAGACGTCGATCGTGATCGATGAAGCGGCGTTGATCGTGAGAGTCGGCGATAATCTATACGCACCGATGATAGCCCGCCACTGTAATCGGCATTCCCGACGAAAATTCGCGCTCACCGTGCACTTTCGATGGACGAAACCCGCGATTGATTTCGAGGAGTGCGATCGATCGCGCTCCGTACTCCGTACGCGTCGGGACGTCGGGACTGTGTAACGGCTAACGGCCGGTAGAGCGCGTCTGGCGTCGAGGCTTTTCGGCGGATTCAGTTATTTGAATTTGAAAGACGAATAATTTGAATTCGCGATAAGAATCAATCTTTTCACACACTTCTCAGCAAGTTACAATTATTAGTTATATATTTCATTCGGAATTTTCTTTTATGAAGGTTTGCACAAGCAGAGAGAAACCTGAGAGAGGGCATCGCGGCCTTTTTTGTGAGGGTGCCGTCCCATGCAGGACGGAATTTCGGAAAACGAAATCTCGAAATCATTCTGATTGGTTCTAACCCCATGGGGCACAGTACAAGCTTCATGGGACTAACCAATCAGAATGATTCCGAGATTCCGTTTTTCGAAATTCCGTCCTGCATGAGATGGCACCCTGAGATTGAGGATCAGTTTAATATATAAGAAATTACACAACCGACAACGTCTCGCGATCCGACTTTGAACATGTCACGTATTTACTTGCGTGAATGCGCGGGCGCCGCGGGCCGTTACGCCGCTGCGCGCCAAGCTGCCGCACAGTCGAGTCGGGCGAGGAGGTTCGTGAGTCGAGCCCCCGGATCTAGCCAATCACGTTCCACCGCTCCGCGCCGCCGGCGCGGCGGATCGATACGGTGACGTAGTAGGCAGTGTAAGCACCGCCACAGAATTTTCGAAATTGGTGCTACGTAGCCACGTTCATTTTCTGACACTAGGCGATAAGACGTACATCATTTTGGTCCCACGAAAAAAGCCGGGATAAAGCTTCTCTCTGACGTGAGTATCATGTAGCGTTCGACACGTGACTTTTTAAGGATTCTAACAATAAGATAATTCAATAATGATTTGCTTTACTGAACGCGGTTTATATAAATAATTGATCGTAACAAATATGGGTGGAATAACAAGTTTATGGACATACTGCGTGATATTATATCATACAACAGCGCAACATTTATATTTAATATATTAAAAAGGGATAGTCGTATTTATTTTTATTCTTATGTTATATCTCTATAGCCGCGTTGAAGAGCTACACAGAATTTACAAATTAATATTAATTCTCTTCTTTTTTTGCTATAACCTGTTTTTTGATAAGAGCGTATAAAAAATATTGATATATATTCAATAGCTAATTCCTTTCTATGACTGATATAATGGTAAGTACTGATAGTAAAACGAATGACAGCACGCATATATATACGTTGGTTATCTATTTATTTATAAAATACATGCTTCCAAGATATAGTACAATAAATTATCTGTAATAATTATGCGAGACAATGACTAAGTTTCGAGAAATGACTAAAAAAGACGCAAACGTAAAATTTTTAAAGGTCGACAGACAAAACATTTACGTACAATAAATCTTAAATTTCCAAATGAATCTTGTATGATAAATATGAACAGTTTGCGCGTCACGAATAAGCATCTTTTCGGGACAATACCGAAAAACGATCGAAGCGAAAATTGGTTTTTATTGCAGAAAAGCGACGGCAGTGACTGCATTACAAATTAAACATTTTATATTTTTTTTCCCTCGAAATCTGCATACAAAGAAGAGCTACGTTAAATCGAACCAGACACGTATCGACGATTGAAATCCGATGAAATAACGAGACGCAATCGTAATCGAAGATAAGAGACAAAATGCAAGTACTTAACATGTAGTTCGGGTTGAAAGGATATAACGTCGTACCCATCTATCCTAACATTTAACAATCAACATCCAAACGATTACTCCTTTACGCGCTCTTCCTCGAGTGGAAGCATACCATCTTTGTTAACAGAACACATATATATATTACATTGGCCATGTAGCTTTTTTTTTTACAACGAGACGTAGTACGGCGTCGTTGATTGTGACTCGCACAATTTCGATATCGCTACCAAGGAAGGTTTGCTTCCACCTGGGCATCGGCGAGCCGTTAAAGCTATGAGATACGTAGTTTTACCACAAGTATATACATATACTTGATTTACACTGAAAATATATGAATATCTCTTGCCTGTTGCTTTTTATAATCTGTTTTAAAATCCTTCATATTTTAACATCATATAATAATTTCTCTGTAACTTTGTTGTGTTCAATACACAATGCTTGAGAAACCGCGCGTGATACATTTTTGCAGCACATTACCATGACACATATATTTGTCGTAAGATAAGCGCTTATCGCGCAATAACTTTGAATAAACAAGGATGCGTTCAGAATCATCATGACAATTGTATATAACAGATACTAATCAATAATAATCTTATCTAATATTATTCTACTTTAAAATACTTAATTGGTTATTTCAGGAACTCAATAGATGATAAATTAAATATTGTAGATAATTTTTTTTGTGTCAACGTAATTCTCTTAAGAAAATTTTTTACTTTTCTTTCCAGCAACACAAAAGTCCGAAAAACATCTGTATAATCCGAATATAAATTTAATTAAAAATTCGATTTTATAATTTTATACGACAATGTGTAAATGTATCTCTGGTGCCTTATATATACATATATATATTTATATTTTATATACAATCATAACATTCGCGCGCTGTTTCTCATACTTCGCGTAACACAGTTAGGCGCTATTCTTTTAAGTTCTCGTTTATTTTCCCCGTTATGAATATATAATCTATGATTGGACCATCTGTCAGCTAGTGCGCGTACAACCCGACCATTATCTCTTTCATTTTCTATCTAATAATTCTTCTTAAATATAACTTTCTCGACTTCGCGAACAACGGATAGCTACCTTCTCGCTTTGGTACTTCCGCCGTTTGCGTTTTACGTCACTTTCACAGATCAATTTCAATGTTGTATTTTCTCTGTCCAGCAGCTATAATGTCTAAAATAGATACCACCGAAAATACCCTCGGTAAGGACTCAACTATCTACAGAGAGAAGAGATAGATTTTGATAGATATAGATTCTTGAATTCTATTCGAGTATAGCATTTTTCTACGTTAAGAGAGTCAAGATAGTAGTACTCGTGGGGCTTTATAGCCTTGTAGCTGAACTAGCTACATATAGATAGTATCCACGTGATAGAGTCGATCAAAGAGATGTTTTATTCTTTCATTTTTTCCGATTTTTTGCTCGTTGTAAGTCGCGTGACACAAATTTTAAGAGCAATGCAACCAAAAGACTGCCAATTACATACGTAATAATCGCGTTTAGTTATGCAGAACTTTTGAATTATGATAGATAGTTGCGAGAAATAGCTTGATTTTGTGCAAATGTCAATTTGCGTACACACATTGAATTTCGTTCATTTATCTTGTTTTTCGAATTTTTTTTTACATTAGATATATCAGAAACATGCAGCAGTACATGAAGAAGTACTTATAAATAATTTTTTAGCGATCAGAAACGTGCTGAGGTTTTTCTCAAATTTAATTTATTGGACGCAACTTGTAATTCGTCGTTTATGAAAGTTTATGTGATTAATATACGGTTAATGTCGGTAAATATTGATTTAATATCAGTTTTCAAAATATATTTCAATCTCTGTCAGAAACTAACAATAAGATGACGAAAGGGGTTTACGCGTTAATTCCTATTCTTAGTTATAAAACGACATATGAAGTAATTCATGTTATTATAAGAGAATGTAATGGAAGATATAATAAAAGTAACATTGCTTTTTTTATTAAAAAAACCGGAAACGCTATGTGCACACGTTTATCTTGAAATAAAGGAAAATAGCGTATTGTATATTTATGATTTATATAAACCATCTATGAGATAGTACAATAGCAATCTAGAATCTCAATTATAAAGCTAGAATAGAAATATCCATGATTTTTACATCAGAATTGTGTTAAGAACCAATAACAATTTTATGTTTTGTAAAATCAAATTAAGGAAAGCGCCGTTATATTAATTTTATGTTTTAATAACTAGATTGAGCATAAATAATTCTCGTTCCTACTTTTAAACAGTTGCCAATTATGTATTTAAAATATAATAGTTGGATTTCAGGCAGCCATTTCAAGTATATCCTGAGAAAAATGAGGAAATATTACCCTAATATTATATCTTCAATACAAACGATATTATTATTATTATATAGTTTTGTCTCTGATCGCATTATAATAAAATTTTTTATTGTCCAATAATATAAAACTATCGATATCACACTAAATAAAGCAGCACGATTATAGCTTATAGTTTAGCATAATAATTATGACGTTAAAAAAGAAGCTAATGCTGTTTTAAATTATTTAGCACTGTATTACTTTCTTCTGTTTGTGTAACATATAAAATATAACTAAAAATTGACAATTGTTGATTTAAGATAATACAAAGGATACATTATATCATTGTCAATCTCGTTTCCTCACTGTTCATGTAAAATAACTTGTATTAAAGCCAAAACTTAAATTAAAGCCAAACTTTCGCATATTACGTTGCTAAAACCGTGATCGAACTTACGTTACTTTATGAAATTTCCTGTAGATAACTCGATGTTTGCGAAAGAAGGTAACATGCAGTTTGGCAGCGTACAATAGAGATTGAATGATATAAGTTCAACAAGAAGTATAAAAGCTATAGAGAAGTATACCGAATTATATATGTTCTTAGAGGAAATATGAGCATAAATAAAAGGAAAGTATGCGCGGATGTGTAGTTGAGATAATATGAATTAAGCATATGGCGTGACATTACGTAATGAGAGCTTACATCCTGAATAAGTGCTATAACTCTGTCTTCTTGTTAAAAAATTACTATTTCGTGTGCTTTTCTTCTATATCTTGCGAAACTTAATAATATTCCAGGTATCGTCAGTCTAGTCTCGCTAACTCTTAAAAACCAATAACATTATTCTAAAACTAATGGCGTCGCATAAAAAAGCCCATAACATATTTAGATTTAGCTTATTTCCGATTAATCATCGTGGGGTAAGAGTACTCATTTCCTTCCTTTCTCACATCTAAAACTAGTATCCGATCGAATTCGAAAGTATCTAAACGACACAGTTACCCCGTTTCTGTCTTTTATACACTTATTTACGTAACTTCAAAGACATGCGGTAGTGATCGAGTGATATGAGACAACATTCGATGTTTATCTCAATTTATATATAAGTCTTATGCTCTATATATAGATAGGCGCTGCTAAAAATCGAAGAAATCTTTACGCCTGTAATTCTTGTCGTGCGCGATCTGTCTTTTTTTGTCGCTTCTGTCATTTCTTTACTGACTTTGTTATTCGTATCTTTCTACTATCTCTCCACGTTCGACATATTGATACACTGCGTGAATTGGAGTTGCATCAGTTTAGTTGTTAGAAGAAGTTAGTCGTCGCATCCCAATATTCTCTAAATCGAAGAAATATCCAAATAGCGATTCGCGATTCGCTATCTCGAGTATTTTACAAGAAACGCACATAATGAAAGGATACTTGAAACTCGTATAAATCTAAATAAATATAAGCCTCATTTCGCCGCTTCCCAATCTAAGGTCGATGATTTCGATCAGACTTGCTGGTCTCGATGCATCGGAGTTTTGTTTATTTTTACTCGTCTCCATTCCTCCTTATTTATTTATAGTTATCCAGAAGTAGGCAGTGATGGAAAATGATTAAATATACTTCGCTCAAGTAAATCCTCTTCGCTCATCGCGGAAGCCTTGGTCCAGTCTCCACGACTCGTGTTAGTTAATTATAATAAAATGTTTCGCATATATTCGGCAATGGATCATTCTAATGCCAGATCGATAGAGAGAGGCCTTTTTCCTCTGTCTTCGAATATTTCTTCCAGTTTTTGTCCCTTAACTAATCCGATTCACTTCTCTCTCTCTTTAGCAGCACACAGTCTTTACAATCTAGAATCTTACAACGATAATACGCTTACCTGTCACAAAAATAAATATTTTGATATCGCTTACCATCTACATGCTTACGCACTAGAAACAACAAATCCCGCTTGACATATCCAGCTGTACGACGGGATTCACGATAAACTTTGTATGTCTCAATCGTGAGTTGACGCTCATCCTCGCATTTAACTTTGTTTTTTATGTTACAGTTCTATATGCACGCGGAACTCGCACGCTGTTGTTAAAAATGTACGTAGAGCTACGAGTATATTCACGTGAATGTACAATACATTACAGTCGTCGGAGAATGAATACATGCTGTGTTTTTATCGTCTCAGCACATAGGTATATTCAAACATAAAGTACAACCTTCAACCACTTTTAATAATTGTGTCATTTATCTAAGGGGTGCGTTCAACGAACAATTAAAAAATTTTTATTGAAAAAGTTTGTAATTAAAAATTAAAATAAAATAGTGCGAGTAACGTCGTGCATATATAAGTTTTAAAAATACATTCTTAATTTTTCGCTTACAGTTTACAATAATACAATATCCATTCGATCCGATACAAAGATCCGCTTCTAATTCTCGTTTATTCGCTAACCACTTACACTAACGCTAAAGTTTTATGAAATCCACTTGCCGACACTTGACTATTAAGGGAGATTCATTACACACATTCTTTTCGTAGCAGATATCATGTTTGCTATTTGCATACGATATCATCATTTTCTAAGTAAGTTTCAAGCAAAATACCAAAAAATTATTTTATCGTCCTAACATGCTCGTTACTTGCTTCCAATCTGCTGTCGCATATATTTTCTCACTTGCAGATTCCGACATCTAATCCTATAAATATCCTATCTCAGGGGTGAGGGAGGCAGCACATTAATTCAATCAAAATATTCGCTTAGTTGTCGTTCCTATCACAAAACAACCACTTTTGTAATTCTTTGGTACATCTAAGTCACAAAGCTCTGAAACACTCCATTTATTTATACTTTTCTCATACTCTTTTTCGTAATACTCTTTTCTTGCATATCTAGAAATTCCGCTGAGTAGATTTTGTTGAGCTAATACGCGCAAAGTGACGCAATGTCGTCTCTTGAAACAATCAATTCTGAAAAATCGCATATCAGTCGCTCCAGGACGACGGGACACATTTTGAGGAATTTCTTTCCTCATCTCTGGTCCAAGGAGTTAAGGTACAATATTGAGCGATTTATTTCCTAATCGAGTGATCCCTTCAAGTCCATGGTATGTATCGCGGACGCGGTGAGTGTCAGAAAGCAGTGTCTAGAGCAGCCATGCTGGTTGAGATATCCGGATCTGCTCGACATGCCTCCAAAAACTCGGATAGCGTCACTACGCCGTCTCTGTTGCCATCCATTTTCTGAAATAAAATTAATTAATGAAATTAAATGATTCTATCAACTAGACATTAGAAATAGGCTTGTGTATCTAAATTAACAAAATAATTAAATAATATGTGTCATAATATAATAAAAACACTTCTGTTGTTTACATAAAGTAGCTTAAGTAAAATTAATATAAATTATAATATTAACGTTTTCAATATAACAAATTATAATGTTTTAATAAAAATTACAACATCATGCATAATTTGCATTGTATTGTCATTATAGTGTCAGCTACAAATTGGCTTAAAACTTAATGAACGTCGTAACGCAACTGTGATGAAACATTGTGTCAAAAAGTTAGTATTATGTAAAATGTTATAACGGTATTATGTGTAAACTTTCTATAGAAGGGTACGAAAATCCGCTTTATGAATCTCTCTTTGTTTGGCATCACAGTTGGTCACGGATATCCGGAGCCTCATATCTCGCAACTCTAACATGATTGACCGAACTATGAATGAACAGAATTACTATAAAGCTTAAACTCAGAAAAAAAAACATCACGTTGACCTAGATTGAAAAACCACCGCTGACGTATATCCTAAGACGATATACGACAACGAAAAAGCACGTAGACGTCCTCTCACACTTCCGCGTTTCTACGATGGTATGCCGATGTAAATGTATGCGTCACTTAAAGTAGAACTGATGTAAAACTGATCGACCACGGTCGCGCTAGAAGTCTGTTTCTACTGCGTCGTACGTTTCAACTATATGTTTCAATCTCGTTATTTTTGTGTAATGTGTAAAAGTAATTTATTACTTAAATATTATTTAATATTAATTCAATTCTATTCTTTCCACGTCAAAATTATTAAAAATTCATAGTTTATTAAAGAAAACTGTTACAGTTTATTCTTTCCCACGCACAATAAATCGTCGATAATTATAGCAATAAATACAGTGTGATTAACAATGGGGTCTTCGCATATTTATTCAAATATATTCAACTAGACGCGTAGGCATTATCGAGGTATTAATTATTTGCAATTCGTGGCAATCTATCGAGTTAATTTACGGAACAAATACCACCGAAAGTCGAAGCTGGCATTTCAAGTCGTGTTGCGTGCATGTACGATCATTTAGGTTGCACGATGGTAAATTGGCCATTGGCAGGTGCAATTGGCAAAATTATTACTGCTCTCGCACTGCGAAACAGAAAGCTCGTATGCGTGGGTGAAACCTGTTGTCGTGTATCGTCAGATAGGATTAATTGGTATCACGACTTATTACAAGCTAAATCGTACCCTTGTACCATATTATAATCAGCAGTAATCACCGGAAATATGGAGAACACCAGGATTGTACGGAACCGACGGTATAATAGGATCTTGTAATTCAATTTGGTATGTTAAAAAGATAAGCTTAAATTTTATCCTCAAGATCTTTCATTTTAAAAGACAATACTATTATCTCATGTCAAATAAGCTACTGCAAATCCACTGAATAATATTTAAGAAACAGTTCTTCTGACAATTTTTGACGATTATAATTTTTTTCAGATTTTACTAACAAATATAATATTTAATAGTAATTAAGCTTGTAAATTTTTATATTTTATATTTTTCTTTTATCTTCTGTGTCCTGATCTCTGTTTGTGAATGACGTAACATGGAAACGATTCAATCATAAAACCAAAAATTGGCAAGGTAGCCCATTTTTCTGTGATGAGAAGTGCTAGAGAGCACTGGCTGCGCAGTTTCCAGAAACAATGGGACGGATTTAATCGTTATCTGGAGCGAACGGTGCTCGAATAAAGCTCGTTTTTAATTAGTGCTATGAATAACGCAGGTATTTCTGCGACGCTCATTACCTCTGCTTTCCTCGTGATTAATTAGTGTCAGTTTAATCGAAACAAATGTTTTTACAAAAAAATTAAGGGTGGATTGACATTTAGTTATGCAAAGAGTAAGTGATAATATCCTTTCTAGAACATATATGTACGTATAGATACAATATAAATATACATATATAATTAGAAATTGATAAACATATTTATATGTAGGAATTTGGAAGAATTTTGGTAACGACTAAAATATTTTTCTAATTAATTGTAAAATTTATTGATAAAGAGTATTATATAATTTTATAATTTATTATTAGTACTATATAGTATAATTTTTTAAAGCCTTGACAATATAAAATATTTTAAACAAATGAAAAAATGCATAAGTATGCAGTCGATCCAGATCTCTTAAACGATTGTGTATAATTAAGCTTGCTACATTTAAAAAAGTTATCTAAGAAAAATATTGATGGAAAAACACACAAAACCGCGAAGGACGGGAACTATTCTTTCACCGCTTTTCTACGAGCGCATTGAAAATCTTCGTAAGCGTTCAAAGCCATTGTGCTGCGGTTAGAAGTTTATAAAGTGTCCACCGGTCCATTTTTCATTCGTGGCTTGTATTCATGGCTTGGGGTTAGCTTTAATAATGCTTTATCGTTATCTTGAAAGAATCTCGTAAAGCTAGAAGAACAAAAACTCAGACATACCGCATGTTTCACTTATTATAAAAGAAGTTTATTTGACTTCGAGAACACTTCATTAAAGCTTACTCATATAAAGAAATATTTGTGGCAAAGATTTCTACATTATAGCTGTTCACATAATTAACATCTCTATAATGCATTTAGGGAGAGAGAAAGAGAGAGTGTGTAGATGAAAAGATAATAATGTTTAAATAAAGTAGAACTTGAGAATTTGCCAGTGAATAATTAAAATTTAATCAGGTATGTTGATCGATCCAACTGGCCAAATTTTATTGCAATGCGTTACTTTGATCAATAAAATTTGGCCAGTTGGGTCGATCAGCATATCTGATTAATTTTTAAATAAAGTAGATCCATATGAATTATCCACAAATGATATATTTGCAATATGAGATTGCGTCACATTGATTGTTAATTAACTTTTAAAATCAATAAAATAATAAAATATGTTATGCAGGTACGGCTCTTCATTTTTTCATTCTCTTATTTATTTTCGAAACACGGATTGTAAATCCCTTGTGTAATTTCATTTATATACAAATCTCATTACTATTGGTTGAGTACTTCACTTTAACATCGCACATATAATGCCAAAATGAAACTTTTCCCATTTCGTACATTCTGCAGTTTCTTGTTTACGTGACGCAATTCCTTCTATTACGTCTCATCTTATTTATCATATTTATGTATTTTGATTTTATTTGTTACATTATATTTCTTTGTCGAATAAATCTTTCTTTTTCTCTTTGGCGAAACAAACTTCAAAGTATCCGTATCGCTATTATACCGTGAGATAGAAAGATGCTTGAAAAATCGTTTGACTGTTGAAGAAGTCTTGTCTTGCGCCACATTCTTCAAGTTTTTAGCGAAAGTCCTGGGTCGATTTATCTATGTACACAAACGTTAATGTCCGGAAAAGGAAACCTAGAATGTCTGCAACGTACATCTAAGTTGCACGGTATTCCGTTTCTTCGTCTACAAAACGAACATTGTTACAAGCTGACTGCATATTCGAAAAATGGTATATACGTCATACGTCATATATGTATATTGGTGAAATTTATTCAATCCGTACGTACATATTAACGAAGTTCACTTATATTTGCGCATTTATAATCGATTTCGATTATCACACGCGAGAGAATGTAATATAACAATTTTACCGTCGATATTCCCTGCACGCGTCGCAGAATGATGTGGCAATATGGCATTGCAAAAGGATCATTCATGTACCAGATGTTATTGATATTATGACAATAAAGTTTAACCGCAAGTAACATCTGTTCACAGAAATTTAGTAGTAGGTAGTTCAATGGCAGTTTCCAGTTTCACGGACGTTTCGGTTTACGGTGAATTGTAGAATTGATTCCAAACTGACTAATAAATTACATCATGCGAATCAAAGGGTCTAACTACAGAATATTGGCAGGTATCCAGAAATAACATTTAATTGGATAGTGAACAGCGACCAATAGTTTCTATTACTATTATCGAATTGTTTCTGGCAGTTGAGCAACGACAAATATATATATCGATATTTAACAGAGATGTAACATAAGCAAATCTATCTTTTGATTTTCGAAAAATATCACAGTCTTCACATATTGAAACACATTAATCTATGAATAAGAATTTTGTGTGTTCTCTGCGTATATTATCATTTACACAGATTATATAAATTACAATACTTTTTTAAATATTTTTATTTAATCTGCTAATAGCGTTCAAAGAAGGAGATTAATTTTTCTATCTCCTTTTTGGAAGCTTGCCACGAAAGTGATTAAAACCTCCGAGTGTCATGTTTATTGCATAACGTGTGTCATAGCGCGGGAGCTGCAAGTTAGATTGAGAAGGTAGCGTGGTTCCTTGAGAAAAGCCCCTGGGGCCTTTGAGGAACTGAGACCACAAGCAATTAAAATTTAAACTATCCGCGTATATATGTAAACGCAAGGTGCGCGTATATACTGTGGTTTCGAGTTGGAGCTTCATGTTGTAGTACTAATCCTATCTCTCTTATGTTGTCGCGGCTGCCGCATACGCGACCACGAGTGTGCATATACGCGTATCGGTGTGCATGCCTCAAAAGCAGCAACGTTAAACAAGGCGTTTACCCTTTCTGGTCGCGTCGTCTTTACCGTCGAATTTGCGTTTCCTTTCAACGACAACGGGAGCGTAGGAAGCACATCAATAGGTCTAACCCAGCTATACAGAATCGAAGATGAGGATCTAGGGTCGTGACGTGCCAGCCGATAATAGTTACGAAACAAGCTTCCGCTCAGAAACTTCGTGTCTTCTAATAATATTATAGAATTGAATACTGTTTATGTAAAAGAGCATTTGTTGACTAAGATCACAGCGTCCGAGCGAAATAAGATTAGCAACACTTATTATCATTTTATTTCTTTAAAGTTTTATTTCTACGTCTAACACGTTTTTCAATATTTAATTTCTTTGCAATAGATAAAAAATAGAAGTTCTATATATGTTCTTTGAACTTTTTATATTAGTGGCATTTATCATGTATTTTACAGCACAATTGTTTTACGAAGGCGCGGATGCCTGTTTTGCACGGTTCGATTGTCAACACAATCCTGTGCATCGTATCCTAAAAACGTTAACTCTTTGAACTTCATTTGTCATAGGATTGATGAAGCGTATAGTTTGTATCAGACAGAAGACACGTCATCCGCGCAAATTGTCTCTGTAAAACAGATTGCTCCTTTTTTCGCCTGTAGCGGCGGAGATAGGTGAAGAGACCGAGTGCACTGCGGGCATTGTCATCCGCAGCTAACAATGTGACAGCTTCTAAAAAGAAAAGGCTCGTTCCTGTCTCACGGATACACTCTCCGCAGAAGCTCGTTTTCTTCCGCTGAAGTGAACAGATTATCGACAGTCATTGCACGTTTGAAACAGATACGAGATTCATTAATTTAAAACGCTCGCCCGAAGCTCCAAATCAATCGATATTTTTAATTCAATCGTGTCTTTTTTAATAAACTATAAATTAACTATAAGTTTATTAGATTTCTGAACCCAAATAGTTTTGGAAACATTTGTGCCTTTGTAATATGAGTGTCGAAAATTTTATAGTTTTTTTTTACGACTGTTTTGAAGATCTGTTTTCGGAGAAAATTTCATTATTCTACCTGAAACATACGATCCACTTTGAGACGTACACCCTCATGGTCCAAGTTGGGATCAGAAAATTTTCCCATCAGCTCATATACGGCAGTCACAATGTCCGTCATCTCCTCCCTCGTGATACAGCCGTCGCCGTTGATATCATAAAGCGAGAACGTCCAACGAAGTTTTTCATCTATCGAGCCACGAGATAGTACACTCAAGCCCGTAACAAAATCCTGAAACATAAAAACCAACATTGTCCGTAGCAGCAGCATATCGTCATAAGACATTTGGAGATACATATATGCTTATATTTTGTAAGGCATGTATCTGTATATATATAATCCCTAAGCAGTATTATGTAAAAGCAATGTACCCATCTCTCATACATGACATGTACTTCGTTCATTTTTTGTTCTCTTCTCTTACTCTATTCGATATTCGTTCAGAATATATAAAGAATTATAATTTCACGCAAGGATAACGAAAGTTGCATTTGATTGTGATAATAATTGGATGAGTAACGCTAATACAGAATGGGGTGGTAAACTTTAATGCCTGTTGGTTGAATAACGGCGCGGTGCCGAACTTAGAATGAAACATACAAATGCGAGCACATACCGCACGAGATTTGTGGTCGCGTCGGTTATGCAACTTGCAACACCTGCTACTAAGTTATATGAAATCGAAAGATGCGACTGTTCCACGTATTTATAATAAAGCGTTATAATTTTTTCAAATGTACTCCATGCTTTTTTGCTTTTAGAGCTGAAGTATCCGATAGACATTTAAATAAATATCAATAAAAGAAATTATGGATTTTATCAGAAGTTTATTAAAGCATGCAGAAGTTTTAGAAATCAGATGAATAAATAAGTTTATATATATCTTAATCTAAGTGCATTCTTGCATTTACATCAATGTCGCGGCAACGCGTCCATGCAAATTTCGTCATGCAAAAAGAGCGCGGCAATAAGAAAGATTGGACAACCGCGCTATTTCAGAGAAATAGGTCGCTCGCACAAAAGCAATTTAGACACAGAAGGATGTTAAATTTAATCGTGCAGTAATCGAGCAAATAATGGCGACAATGTGTAACGTGTTGCCTCGTAAGGGATAAACTATGCTATCAGTCAGCTAAGTTGCGACGCAGAAATCCCGCTTCGTATTAATATATACGCGTAGAAGCGTGAAACTGCGAGAAGTTCACGAGATATGTATACGTTGTGCGAGATATAGACACACACATCAAACGCGTAAGTAATAAAGCCATGAGTAATAGAACTGGCGGCGCTACGTCCATTTCTTGGTACAATTATTATGGAAATTCGTCTGGAATTTGAAATGTAAGGTGGTGACTATAAGATAGAACAGAATTGCGGCCTAGTTCTATTGTGCTACTTGTATTATTAACTCAAGACACATTTGTCACGGAGTGAGAAATACATCAGCGCCAGCGTATTGTCACATTTGTGTACCTTTGGGCGTAGCCTTTGATAGCACGGTAAGACGTAATAACGAACCTAATGATTGCGTTTTCTTCTATGATAGACCCTACGATTAATTAAAACTCGCATGACGGATTTTAATTATCTGCTAAAAGCAGAACGAGTGAAAAAACAGTAGAACCGGGGAATTAAAATTGAAATTGAATTGAATATCTGCGCTCCTTTGTCTTACCCATAGAGATATAAGAATATAGTGCGCAAGCAAGCTGAAAAAGTAATATAGAAATAGAAAGAGAAAGCAGTCTTTTCGCGATAGGAATTCAGTATGGGCCTTTTCTGTCTTTGTCTGACAGAAGGGGCCCATACTGCAGCGTTCATTTTCTATTTCTATATCGCAGCCTCTCGTAAGAGGCGTGCTAGCATATGACTCGCGCACTCTAGTCTTATATTTCTATGGTCTTACTACATTTAAGTACCTTCCTTTGAATATAAAATTTTAATTAGTCTTGCAATAAAGTTTACAATTATGCGGATCCTACTCTCAGGGCTGTTTCGAACGAGCAATTTATGGCGGAAACTACTTTGCTAATTACATTTGGTAGGCTTTGATTCTAATAAAATAAAACACAATGCCGATGAGTTAGCATATATTTGAACAAATCAAAAGATACTAGAGTTGGAAAATTTAATGTTTATTTTTTATACTATATAAGTTAAAATCTTAAACATATAAACATATAATAAGCAACGACATAATTATGGCAATAAATAAACTTCAATCACAAAAAGTGAGAAATATCGAGACAATAAAAAGTATGTTAATTATTAAAATAATTAATGTTGTCTTTAGATTGTGGCAAGTAAAACGGCATGTATTATCCTCGACTTTATCGGTTAACAGTACCTTTGGGATAAAAAAGTGTATTTGCTGAAGCTGTTAGCCTAGCAAATTGTATTAAGCGGTCACGAAGAATAAAGTAAAGTCAGGGAGATGAGAAGACAAAATAAAATTGAACGTTTAGTGATTAACGTTAACAAAGTTTAAAGTTGAGATTGGAATAAAAAATAAAAAATCAATATAAAGATTAAAACATCAAAAACACTATTCTTGTAGCTTATTATATAGTAACAATAACAATATGTATCACATAAAAAAATTTTGTCTCTAATAACATCTTTAAAGAATGTATCTCTATTTTTTTTTATAAGCTTGAATTGAACTTTGATATATAGGTTGCTGTCTTAGGATGAAACGAAAGAATGACGTAGCATATAGGGGGAGTAGGAAATCGCCAAATGTTGTATAAATTCTCCTAGAAGATCTAAACCCTAACATACATCATACTTGACATCGTTTAATCTTACTTATAGTCAAAATTCTTGGTTTCACGCCTCGTATTGTTTTACGTGTTTCCGCACGCACATTGTGATTTCAAACTTTTTACTTCTAAAAGAAATTTTATTGAGAAAAACTTTTTAATAGCTTATACTGCCGCATATTATTATATTCTACAATACTAATTTA